GAATTAAATTCTCATTTAACATGAGAAAATCAAACCCCTTAATAAAAACACATCAACTAAAAATACCCTGTACTTCCCGAATTCTTCTTTCCATTGTGCATCCCGAGAGATGTCACTTGCATTGAAGCCTCTATTTAATCCAGTATCAATGGCTCATGTTTGAAAAAGACATGACACAAATGTTATTAAAATTGCTTAGCCGAGATATTTAATTATTGATTTAATTAGTGGATCACTGGTTGAATCATATAACTTAATAATTTTATGCAATTCTATAATTTATATTAAAAAATTATAAACATACTCAAATATCTAAAAAAAGTGATAAAAATTTCAAATATTTTAATATTAAAATTAATAAATCACACATTATTATCCAATAAAAGATAAAACAAAAATATAATAATCGTGATACAGAACTTCAGGTTCAATAAATGATATCTCTAACTATAAAGCAAATCAAAATTTTCTACATAGTGCATAATTGAGATAATATTAGTGTTGTAGGTACATGACTTATGTAAGTCAATAAGCAAAAAATACTCAAATATGTTCATAATAAAAAAAATTGAATTTTTCTTTTTTTGGGAACGGGCCAGGTCACTGGGTCACCGGCTTTCACGAAAATCGACTAAGTGGCACCGATTCTGATGCATGGCCGACCGTTGTTTCAATCGGACCAGTTATATGATCGGTTTACCAGTTTTCGGATCCACTCAGTCTATTCTGTCTGGTTTTATTAACATTACATGATACGGTTATGTGAGGCAATCATAACCATATAAAAATGAATCAACGATTATGATTTGGTATTTATCTATTCTAAAATTACCAAAAAAAACGTATACCTATTTTAATATACTCTTCTCTCTTTTCTTTTGTCAGTGCCTTTATATAACATGTCATATTTGTTGAGATATATAGTCTCACATTGGTTGTATATGTAACTAATGTAGCCTTTATAAGGCCTTGGGCACTCTCACCCTTTGAGCTAGCTTTTGGGGTGGTGTATCCCAAGGTTATTTACATAGTATCAGAGCTTGAGTGACTATAAGGTCACAAGTTCGATCCTCACCGCCTCCACTTTAAAGTGGAATTAAAATAAAAGCACAAAAAGGTAAACCAAAAATTGGACTTGTGCAATATCTACGCTTCTAGCCCAATGGGCTCTCGTGTGAGGGGGCATGTTGAGATATATAGTCCCACATTAGTTGTATGTGCAACTAATGTGTCCTTTATAAGACCTTAAATACTCTCACTCTTTGAGCTAACTTTTGGAACGGTGTATCTCAAATTTCTTTACGATATTTTTTCAAGAGGATCAACTACCTCATTATATGTGCGCGTCCCGTCTTCTGCCAAATAGACAGTATACATGTGTCTCAACTCTCAATACAGTTTATGTATTTGCTGTCGGTGGCTCTAGCTAGCTAGCATTGCTAAAAAAGAATGATGCCTTCTGCTCTGGCTCTGCTTGCTAAATAATTTTTTAATATTTAATTTTAATAAATATTAAATAAAAATTGATATGTTCAATGTCTGAAACGTTTTTGAAAAATACATACTTTTATTTATAATATTTATATTTATGATAAAGTCCCTATCCTTGTTATCGGCATGGGGTGGAACCATATATTAGTTGCTTAGATGGAACTTCCACCTTGTAATTAATGATGGGGGGGAAATATTTTCTCATTCATTGCCTATTCTAAGCCATTTTGATTGGTAACATGAGTCCAAACGTTACATGCATGTTGGTTTCTAGTGTAATTTTTTTTATTCTATGATCTTAATTGTCTTTTGAGGCTAGTCAGCTATAAATTCTTTTTTTTTTTTTTTTTGCCATTCATCCTAAACTTACATTATTATTTGTGTCAACCCTTGAGGTTATTATTAAATTTAACGATAGGTATTGATGTCTTTAAAAGATAACTGGTGCTTATACTGCCTTTGTGGTAATATTGCCTTATTCCGCCTTATAATCTGTTTTATATTGCTTGGTTTTCTCTATCTTTGTTAATACTAGTTAGGTCATAATTGTCTGTTGGTCCCAGATGAACTCAAGAGGGGGTGAATTGAGTTTATAAAAATTTTGCCTCCTTTTAAAAACAAAACTAGATTTCGAAAGATAATAAATAGAAAATAAAGCATGCCAAAATCACACAGCAATTTACGTGGGAAAACCTCATTGGCTCAAGAGGAGTAAAAACCCACGGCACCAATCTGGATAAACTCTCCAATTGGTCAAAAGCACTTCACTAAAAAAGCCAAAAACAATAGTACAAAGTTAGCCATACACTACCCTTATACAATTCACACCCAAATCTGAATGACTACTCAGCCACCCAAATGACACTTCACCAATAACTCACCTTCTGTCAACTCAGACAGAATCAAACTCTAAGCTAACAAGAAGATTTAATAATAGAAATACCATGTGCTTCTTGAATAAGCAGAGAGGTAAAATAGAGAGACCTTGATCGTGCCTTGATTGCCACAATATTATAACTTATGCTCTGCTTGTAATCCTTTGGAATGGAATTTTATTTTTGTAATCACGAAAGACTGAAGGACTGAAAGACTGGTTTTCAGATAATCTCTTTATCTTTATTTAAAAAACAACCTTTTTATTTTTTGAATCAGAATCTAGAAGATTTTAAAAACAACCGCAATATTCGAAAAGAGTGGTTTATTAGATAAGAAAATCCATCCAGAGGTTTGTTTGTAAAACCATTTTTTATCCTTGCTTTTCAAATATCTAAGACAATCAAAGTAAGATCAAGTTCCTTAACAACTCTTACATGTTCTATTGAATCCAACTCTTCTTAAATTGGTTCTCTTTGTTGGGCTGTATTTTTCTTTGACTTCAAGATCCACTCGGTGATGGGCTTGTGCTTTAGATTCAATCAATCTCTTCAAAGCAAGTTATTAAATTTACTATTTTGTCCTTGATTCAATGCTTTTCTTTCTCTTCATGATATCTTTCATATCTCCTCCAATCTTCATGCAATCTTCAATTATCTTAAATACTATTTCAAATCATAATAAATATTATTCTGAAATCTCAAACAATTAGCTCATTAGTAATTTCAAGATAATAAAATATTATCAATTAAATTTACATTAAATTGATTGTAATCATCAAAATATATTTTAAATCAATTAATCAATTTGGGTATAACAAATATCCAACATTGTCTATGTTAGTTTGTTCTACCGCGAAGAAGCGGACCAGAAGCCAAGTTCTCATGCCACTAAAAGACATGGAATAATTGATTAATCAACAAATGATTGTTGATGCTGAAACGTGAAGGTTTGTTGAACTGGAATAATGTACTTCACATTTGGTGAAGCTGGAATTCATACGTAGTACCAGCCATATTTGGTATTCGATATGATTCAACTCGCAAGCAGACGTTCATATTTAGGTTGAAATAGCCATTTAGTGTTTATAGATTCGCTTAACTTAATCTTAATAATTAAAGATTGTTTAAATAAGTTTTTTTTTTTTTTTTTTTTTTGTAAATTAAATAAGTTTTTTTAGTATATAAACTAGGTGAATCTAATTCGAACATCGTAGAATTCATATCAGAGGTGGCTCTTCCATAAGTTTCTTAAATTATGTAAATTTGGTGCTATCGCTACAAGAATAAATCTTATTAGTGTCGTAAATTTCGTCACTACATATGAAATTTCGTCACAAATTCTTGTGTCACAAATTTATTTGTGACGAAATTTGATTATTTGTGACAAAATTTGTGACGAAATTTTTGTCACAAATAAATTTTTTTCTTGTAATTGTCGTATGTATGACGACTACAAAATATTGTTGAGTTTGTCACTCAATGTTTGTTTAGATATCATCACTAAATTTGACATTGGAGATCATTTTACTTGTTTGAAAAGTATAAGGAGTCGTTTAAACGGTTTTTAATTATAAAAGTTAAATTATATATCTTTATATGTGAAGTTTCTTAGTTTTACTTCCGCAGCCATCTACTTCGTTTGAGAAAAGGATAATATATAAGATATTTTTAAAGTGGAAAAAAGTTCTCAAATATGTTTTTTTTTTCATAAGTAATTTAACATTTTTTTTTTTGAAATTTAGTAATACATTAGATATAGCATAAAATTATTTTCTTAAAATAAGAGATAATAATAACTCATATATATAATTAAAATATTATATTATTTAATGATATAGAACAATAAATAAATTTTTTCTAATTCTAAAAGAAAACTATATTTTGTAATGAAAATCGCTAAAAATGAAAACACACACTGAATAAGATTTGGCACGTAAATAATATTCTTTTTCATTTTCCATTTCTGATTCTTTTCGCCATAAACAATAGTTTTTGAAACTTATGAGCAAATCATTAAAAACTTTTAAAGTGACATGAATCAAAGTTGAACAATAATATTTTTCTCTTCGCAGAAAACTTAGGTCAAACCAAATGCAATTTCGTAATGGGCAAAAAAGAAACCACTTCTATTTATTTCTTACAAGTACAATTATATCTCATCATATGCACTCGTAATCTAATATATAATTATATACGTACGGTACATTGAAATTAAATCAAATTTAATTTTTTTTTTCTTGGCACAAAACATGGAATAGGTCAAACAAAAAGCAATCTCATAATGGGCTACAAGAAACTATTCCAATCTCATAACATCATCAAAACTCGTGAGAAACAAAAAGCAATGTTGCTTTTTTCCTTAACTTTTTTCCTTAAACATTTTCCCTTTTCATTTTCCATAGTTTCTAACAAAACTTAAAATAAGTCAAACTAATCGCAAATTCTCAATCCAATGATCAGCAAATTAAAAACGATCTATTCCTATAATTTCTTTTAACTCCCAAAAAAATAAAAAAAAAATAAAAACTATTCCTATTGTCCTTTCCCACCATTAATCATGCAATTCAATCGAAATGTAAATCACAACTAAAGAGGATAAGAAAAGAAAAAAAGTTTGTATTTATTTACAAATTATTACAAGAACCTTGAAGAAGATGGAAACTGTACCAAACCAACAGAATTAAGAACTGTGCCATTAATCCGAACCGAGTCAATTTCCCTGTGTCTTGTCACTGTTCTATACACCTTCCTCTCTTCCTTGTACAACTCAATCTCAGCTTTCTCCTTCAATTCTCTCACTGAATCCCATAATCTCTGCACGTGCGCCACCTCCAACACCATCATCATCATCATCACCCTCTCTATGCACTCCTCCAATCTCTTCATAGCGTAAACCAATTCCACCCCTTCTCCAAAACTCAAGCTACCCATTCTCTCCCTGAACTCGTTCACTCTTATAGATACCTCTCTCAGCGCTTCAACCCCATCCTCTTCAACCAAACCCACTATCTCAACCACTAGTTTGTTCCCGTTTGTTGAAACAGGGTTCGGTCTTTTCCCTATTCCTTCAACCAGAGCCAACAAAGAATCAATCTCTCTCAACAAATCGGCGTTGGTTAGACCCGCAACTGTTTCCTCATGTGTTTCTTTGCCTTGCGTTGAAGAAGAGGCTCCGAGGAAGAATCCGAGGATTCTGGAAGTGCAGAGAAGCTGTTCTATGTGATGAGCGTAGAATCGGACCCATGAAGAGAGTTCCCAAGATATGGGGTTTGTTTTGTCTCGGAAATTGGAGAGGTTAAGGTAGTTTCTGCCACCAGTGTAAGGGTACACGGAGAGCTGGTCCTGAAGGATGAAGGTGCCGTGTTTGATGATGTGATGGACGGCGATTAGGCACTTGAGTGCCACGGCGGAATTCTGGGTGGTTTGGAGGCGGTCCATGAGAAGTTCGATAAAGGAGGAGGCGGTGGCGCGTGAACCATCGCCGGAGGAAAGAAGGGTGTTGATGTATTTGTGGTTTGGAGGGGTGAAAGAATCGTGGCTGGTGGCTCGAAGGAGAGAGAGAGTGGTGCGCTTTGAGAGGATTGCGGCTTTTCCCTGTAAAGCTTTGTCTTTGATTCTGTCTATGAGTTCTTTGAGTTTCGTCATAGAATATGCCTCTCTCTCTCTCTCTCTCTCTCTCTCTCTCACTTTCCATACACAATACTATGCGACACGTACACGCTAAGTTAAAAAAGCAAGAGATCCTTTGTTCAATCAAGACCAACTATAAGATATAATTTAAGGAAAATCATTTTCTTACCAAGAATTATCTCATGCACAGGAGACAATATTACAAGTGGAACTCATAAAAAATAGATATAAGATTAACTTTTATTTTATGTGGGTAAGAATTTGATTTTTCTCATATGAAATCAAGAGAAATATAATCCATAATTAAAAAATTGGGTTAAGAGTTTGTCATTTTAAACGATATAACTTTGTGTCATATTTTAATAAAACTATGTCATTTTTTATGTGTTTTTGGTATTTTTTTATATTTTTCCTTTTTTATAAAATTAAAAGAAAAAAGAGAGTGAAGGAGAAAAAAATGAAAAAACATATCAAAACGACGTAAAATTGTGTCATTAAAATGACAAATAATTTTTTCAATTAAATTTAGGGTTTAACATCTTTATTTTTGTTTTCCTGTAAAAGATATTTATCTGACACATTTATATAAAAGTAAATGAATCTCATTAATTTTTCTCTCTTATTTTTACATTAAAATCTATTTATTTTTATGTGAGTGTCAAAAAAATATTTTATGCTACAAAAAGCAGAAGTATTTTCCTTAAATTTATCTCTCGGAGAAAAAAATGAAACGGTTGACGAGCAGTTCTTGTCTAAATAATCTTATTTAGACTAGTAAACGCGCCTCGATTCATTGGATTTATGCTATCAACCAAAAAGCAAGACAGACTCGGGTCACCTCTTCAAAAATTTCGAACATGATAGAGCCAATATAATATCGTGATTGGCCACCTAAAAGCGGTGATGAATAATAATCTAATGAAATCGTAATCTCTGACCATTGTATAATAAAATCACCAGTAAAGTTGATCCCTTCTCAGAGTTGAAAAGAATTGAAGCAGGTAAACATCCTATTTTTTATACTATTATTTGGTAAATATTTTAAAGAAATATAATCTAAAATCATCAATATTCGACTTTATTTATCAACTTGATTTGGTATTACTTAATATGGTATTAGACTATTAGTGTTTTATTCACTATTTATTGTTCTTATTTTATTAATAAATAATTATATATTATTAAATTTCTAAGTATATTAGACAAAACAGATATATTATTCACCGTTTATAAGTCCGATTAATTTTTATCTGAGGAGCATTAGAGATATGTCTTCACCATTAAGTGAAATGATTGCTTAACAAAATTTTATGATTACTACATGATTTGAAAGAAAATAGGTATAAAAATAATAATTAATAATATAATAATTTTTTTTTTAAGTTTTTATAATTATTTCATAAGAATACATTCTTAGCATTTCTCGTTCTTCTTTTTACTTTTCTAACCAGAGGAACGTTCAACGGACTTCGATTCCGTTACACACATCTTCCAGAACCCACGCAAAATAATCTCATTCTTTCATGGTCCGACCGCATTTAACATGTGATATTATTGCACAAGCAAGTTTATGTTTTAGTTAGATAGTATTTGGATTGTCAGATAGTCTGATTTTATCATTTAAAAAATCTAAGGAACATGGTTATTATAAAAATAGGTGGTCAATTGATGCATATATAATTTAGTTTTTCTTATTTTTATCTCAAAATTTTTTTTTGTTGATTTTGCTACGTGAAATTTGACTTATTTTTCTTCTACTGAAGTTCATAAATGATTTATTATATTTGATATACAAATACGTATGTAATATATTTAATGTATATAAAATAAATTATTTTGACTCAATAAAAAACTTTAAACATGTTTTACGTTAGTATAAAATTATAATTTACTGCATTAGTCTACGTTGAAATATTGATGTAAATATCATCTTATTGTTTTTTTAATATCAGTTGCTAAATATATTTTCAATGCGCCTTGTGTAACTTAATTGTGATGTTTAAAAATGCCACGTGTATAATTTGGGTTTTCGTTTTATCCTTTAACATAACACAACAAACTTTCCTACACTCACAACATTTTGTGGGACCCACATTTTTTAAAACAAAAAAATAAATAAAAAATTAAGGCACGCAAAACGAATCTCTATAACATTACACAATCACTTTTCCTACAACATAACTCTTATAAAACCCATATAATTTATAATTCTAACATGTGAAGTTAGAAGCACTTTAATCAAAGTGTGGTCGTTCATTTAGTATCAAGGAAGCTAAGTAAATGAAAAGAAAATGACTTTGGTTCGATCCGTACATGTCACATTTGAAAAGAGTTTAAATATATTCATTTCTGACCTACACCGCACTCCAGATTAGTCCAATAAATGACTCAAAGAGTCGAAACTCATGGGATCAATACCGTTAAAAGCTAATTCACCTTAAAGAAATAATTAGAATTAAGATTAAAAAAAAAAGCACTGTATATATAAACGTACGTCATATTGAAATTTACAAATGAACATGGAAGGCTTCTGATTGTTGCTGAAAGAAATTGTCAATAGAAACTAACTTATGTATATTATTTTTGGGAAATATATCTATCATGTTACATGACAAGAGAAAACAATTCCTAGTGACCCATGGAAGATTGTGCTAACATTTCTTTTGTTTTTTAATTTTTTTTATGGTGGGCCCCACCAAAATTTGTTTGTGCAAGAAATTCGTTTCCAATCCTATTACATGACATATCTATTACCCATTATTTTTATGGAAAATATTTTTCTCGTATCGTTAGAGATAACTATCTCATTTTATATATTCATAGAATTTTGTGTCAATTTTTTCTATTTCTTTTTCCTTTTGTTTTAAAGTATGGACTTCACATATTTATCTCACACACACGAGAGAACTATCTCAAGCAACATGAGATTAGTAACTCTCTATTTTTATACCCACTAATAATGTATAAAATTTTAATTAACGATACAAACCTCCTCAACAAATATTCTATTCCATTTACTTGTTTATGCATATATCAATCAGTACTGTAAATGATCTAATTTATATATAGCAATTCCTATTTTTTGGGTAATGTCACGAGGTTTATTATTTCTCATATTTATTTTTTTGCATACACATAAAATTGGAATTCATATTTTTCTTTCTCTTTTTTAATCATTTGAATTCATATAAACTCCACACACTTTTATATATTTATAGAAAATAAATTTATTACTTATAACATGAAATTAACACCCGTATAAACATTGTAATTGATATAAATTAAGAGTGCAATAGAAAAGTTACCCTCCGACAGATCAGGTTTTGTTACTCTAGTACTATTTAAAGTCTAATTTCATAAGATAAAAAGTGACATTATTTTAATTTTGTACATAAAAAATTCACCAGATGGACTGGGAATTAAATGGAGCAAGTACCTGTTCTGTTTGTGCAGAGGAAAGAGACAAAAGGGGCAATCAAACCGAACGAAGATGCGACGGTTTCTGAGCTCCATGGGCCTTGTAAAACGACATTCTAAGTGGTGGCGTCCAGCATATCCTTTCATTCCCTAAATTATTATTATTAAAAAGAAAAGGCGGAGTCATGGACAAAGACCACCGCTCCACGTCGTTGTTACTTGTGTAACATGCTGTCGTCTTGGAACTCCATGCTCCTGGCAAAACGACGTCGCTCGTTGGCAAACGCAGAATTTGCTTTCTCACGTGTTCAGGCAACCTGAGAGTGTACCTATCCACCACCTTAACGTTCTCCTCAGCTTCCACCAAAGAATGACCCGTCGAATGTGACCTCTTAAACTTTTCCAACATTCTCGATTCACGTGGAGCACGCTCAGGTTCACTTTCCTCTGACTCCGTTACGGTGCTGCTCTGTCCTTTTTCCATGTTATTACGCACCACCTCTTGTTGCTGTTCCATTTCACGACCCGTTATTTCAGGCGTCGTGGTTGTGTTGTTGTTTTCGATGTTGTTGGAAGCAGTGAGCATTGGTATGGGGATGGCAATGTCGCCGACATCACCACACGTGACCCTTGCGCGACAAACAGGGCAATTCATGTGAGAGAGTAACCAAGCATCGATGCAATCTGGGTGGAATACGTGGTAACATTTTGGTAACAACCGTATGTTGTCGAAGTCTTGAAACTCGCTCAAGCACACAGCGCATTCCAGTGAGCCTTTTCCGATTTGAAGGTCCTTCACGGTGGAGTACACAAGGATTGGGCATTTATCGATGACTTGACGGTTGAAACCACCGCGACAGAGGCCAGCTGCGGCGGTGATTGGGTTGCGAATATTGGCACCGTATCCGGAGGAGCAATGACGGAGGTAGAGTGAAAAAAAACCCATGAAAACGAAGGCAGAGAAGAAAGCAACCGACATCACACTCAATGTGTCCTTCAAGTTCTCCTTTAAGGTGATTGCAAAGGGAGGGTTTGATGATGTGCCTGTTTGTGCATACACACACGAATGGAACACAGGCACCACTAGTACTATGAAGAAGAGCAAGTGGGCCCATTCCATTTTTCAATTAATTTAAAAAATATATATATAGAATAGAAAATGGAGGTACTGGAATAAGTGGCTAGCATATCACACACGAACGAGTGATATAAGTAAACTATATATATAATTGAAGCCTTACTTATACTTTGAAGGAAGGGGAAAAGGAAAATGGTGGCAGCAAGAGGAAGAGCCACGAGGCAAAGTAGAGATAGGTGGCGGCAGCAATTGCTGCTCCAAACACGTTAAATTGCGTTTTAGGTGTGCTTTGTTTGTATTCGGAAGGGTTGGCTCTGCTTTTTTGCAGCATTGGCGAAAGTGGAATGTATTTATGATGTTTGCATGCAATCAAACAAAAATTGCACTCCCAGATATAAAGAAATCAAATCTTTTCCAAGAAGAAAATATTTGCGAAACTTTGGGCGGAACAAACCGCATGATCTAACTGAAATTCTCTAATAATCCAAAACGGCTTCTGAGGCGAAAGAAACTGCTGACGATATGCCAAATTAGTATCATATATACATTGAATGCATTAGTGATTAGTCATAGGTTTAGTTAAAAACATCATTCAAAATTTGAAGTAAAAGCAGAGATACGACTCTGAAGCTCTCAGCGCTGGTAACAAGGATAGATGGAAAATTTTAACAAGGGGAATGTTACTTTTGTTTGATTAAAATGAATATCTCATTATTACTTGGGCCAGAAATTGATTACCATTATAATGTGCTTATCATTTCAATTCAATTAAAAAGAGAAGAAGCATAAATCAAAGAATGGGATTAGTAGAACACGAAAGAAGCCAAAAAGGATGCGGGGTTCCACATCCACATATAAATGATGAAACTAGCTGTGACGATTAAAGAGGACCGTACGGCAACGTGACACTGAACTTCCACCGCTTCATTCTTCATGGTTTTCTCTGTTTTTTGTATGTCCGGAGCTTATGGTATAGATGATACGCAATGAGAAGTCATACACCTTAAGTCAAAGTACGATGGTATGAACAAAGAGTATGTGTATGAGTCACATACTTAGTAGATAAGATGTGCCTTGGGAACAAGTGTGAATGTTATAGCCATGGTAAAAAGCCTTGTGAATACTGAGATAAGTCATGAGGTGAGATTTTCACTTGTTAGCTATAGGGGGTCATATATAAATGAAATGCATTAGGAGATTGTGACCCTAGTGGGTAGTTTGCAGGTGACATAATGGTATGATGCAATGCTTGATGGGTGGTTATTTGTATTGGATGAAAGTTAGGGGAAAGTCGTAGAGTGAGATACTCCATGTAGTGGGGATAGGAAGTGGGAACCACTCAAGTGGTACATAACATAACCCTCAGCTTGGCATTACGTACAGTCAGAATATCGGGGTGAAAGTAAAGCCTCTGTGCCTATCAAATAGTGTTTAGTGTTGTGAAAAAGGATATAAATGTCGAGAAAACCCAGTTTGTGATTGCTTATGGGTTCCATGTTGTTTTGTCGTGTTGCTTGTTGCGTAAAATCGGCAAGTGCACCGATCGTACCAAGTAATAAAAAGTGAGTAAGTGTATCGTCCCACGAGGATTGAGGCACCAAATTTAATTTAACTTTTCTTTTCTTATTGGATGAACAAGAGTTGGTTTGAAAGTAATGATGTTTGTAACAATTGTGAATTATTCAATAATTTATGAATAATTCAGAGAGAAATTTGAAGAAACTAAAGTCAAAAGTTGAGAGTTGAGAAAATATTGTAAAGAAACTATTGCAGTAAAGGATTTCAACACCTTTTCGATACCCACCTTATAATATTGATTAATATTTATCTTTAATTATCCAATTGACCAAATAATTCACCATCTATAATTAATGAGTTAAGCCCTAATCCCTTAGTGATCTTAACTTTATTAACCCTATTAGAATCCTAATCCCTTAGAAATCTCTTTTCAAGTTAATCTTTAAGCCCAGTGAATTTTTTCACATTTGCAGTTCATATAGCCTATCCCTAGTGCATACATGAACAGCTATCTTACCCTTTGTCAGGAATTAGAATCTCAATATTCCTATTGTAACCCTAACCCTCGCAATCCTAATAGAGTCGCGAATTTTAAAAGAATTATGGGATGAAGAATAGAGTAAAATAAATTCAATTAAATAATTAACCATAAACTTAACCAAAATACAAGGGGTTCACATCAAGGATTGTGACCCTTACCACAATATAAAAGACTAGCCAGACATATTCATGTCTGAAAAATTAAAGTATTGAAAAGAATGCATAAAACAAATAATAACCGGGAAATTGAGAGAAGAAGAAAGCTTCAATCTTCGCTCCAAACCCTTGCTTCGATCTCTGCCTCCATTTCTCTCTGTGTAAAAAAAGTTGTTTTAATTTGGTTTCTGACTTCTTTTTATAGGCATTAATCCAATCAGGTCAGAATCTTATCAAAAATTTGATTTTTCTTCCGTTTTCAACAACTTTGCAATCACGGAATTAAAGTTACGAAAACTGACGCCATCCGCGCCAATTCCACGCGATTCGTGTGATGAGACAGTGAAGACATTGAAGATTGGCGCGACTAGCTTGAAATTCACGCCATTAGCGTGAAGTATTACTTCCTTCCTTCCACTTGGCGCGATTGGCGTGGAGAATCCTTAAGTTTTCACGCTAATAGCGTGAAATTCACGCTATTAGCGTGAGAATGCAGTGGCCATTTGCTTTTTCCTCGGTTTGAAGCTATTAGCGTGAAGTTGAAGCCATTAGCTTGAAACTCACGCCATTAGCGTGAAGTTGAAGCCATTAGCTTGAAGAGTAATTGGTTGTGATGCAATATGCGCCAATCTCTCGCTTTCCTCCTATAAAAACATAAAATTTGAGTGAAAGTGTGCCTGAAGAGAGATTATCAAGTATTCATTAAAAATAATACTTTTTATCACTGAATTACTGTCAAATCCTTGTTCTTTTTACTCTGAATTATCTATATACTGAAGGCGCATCATTGCTCGTTGGTCGTAGTAGTCTCTGTTGGAAGTATTCAAGTATGAGTTATAAAGAAGTACCACATCGGCTAGACATAGACCAAGTGATGATCATATAAAGTGCAAAAGACCCATAAACCTACAACCTTAAGGTTTTGGGTTAAGATGTGGTGTCGACCCACTTATTATGGTTTATCACTTGGCCCATTGATGAACAATCCTTTGCAAAGATTTTTGGGCTCCCCCGTACCATTCCCAACAGTCTCTAGGGTTGTAATCACTTTCGAGTTTGAAGTTGGAGGTGATTTCTCGAAATGTCAGCCTAGACCTGCAATAAATAATTACAATAATTGTTTATTACGTACCTGAGTAGGTGTGAGAACCCTATTTGATGATGTCTTGTGCGCTGGTTAGGATCATTCAGAATCAAAAGTTCAACAATTTTCCCGCTTTCGAATAGGAAAAGGATGGGTGTCCAAGGAGCCATAACTGGCGACAAGGGACTTTATTTTCTCGCTTTTGACTTGAAAAGGACAGGTGCCCAAGAGGCCATCTTTTGACGGCAAGGGACTTTTAATTTTCCAGCATCCAAGTAGGAAAAAGACTGGTGCCCAAGAGGTCATCTTCTAACGGCAAGGGACTTTATGCTTCTAGCCAGATTGTGATTTCTTCATTAGTCAATTATAATGCTGGTAGATATGTTGCCTCCTGAAAAACCTGAAACATGCAAACTTGTAAGGAATATGCCAATCAATTGTTAGAGTAAAAAACTCTATAAACAAAAGGAAAAGATAAAGTAATTTAAGATACAACTTGTACTGCGCAAGGTGCTCCTTTTCCAAATTTGGGACGCTGGTGATAGGAGCATTTACTGATAAATACTTTGGATTTCTTGGTATGCTGACTTCACTTTCTTGCTTTGAGATATTGATCATTGTCAGTAATTGTTGAAAATTGCTATAACATGTTACACAATATATAATATGTGCATTATATGTAGGACCCATATATACCACAAATGTATCACATATATATAATTAAACATAGATTTTCTCTTTGGCAGTATTAAACTATAACATTATTGTGCCTTTCTTTTTAATGTAATGATGTGTAGGTAATACAAAAATGATATAACCTGTTATAAATTGCAAATTATATACTCCTTAAATTCATGCATTCTATTGCATCCTGACTTTTACATCCCCCAAAGTCGGGTCCACGCAAAAATGGTTTTATCAATATTAATGAGATATGTAATTATAGAAGCCGTGAATAATGGCCTGGTGATAGTCTTTGCACTTAGTGGGTCCTACGAGAGACTAAAAATGCCTAATATAATTATCCGTGCGTGTCTTATTTTGATTTTTAAACTAAGGAGTGGTTTGACCATATTTTTAAGGCCTAAAAATGTGGTTCATTTATTATCATGGTTTTGAGAAAGATGATAAAAGAAGAAATATTTAAAATAAAAGTATGGTCATTTGAATTTATATGGGCTGGAGCGTAATAACTTGCTTTATCTTTAAGGTTTTCCCTAAGCAGAAGGTAATATTATTGAACAATTCAAATCTAATATCTTTTGGTATAATACTTCATGCATCTTTAAACTATTCTCTTTCAAACCCATAACCTTCTACATAAATTTGGAAAAAACAATTTGGGAGAGATAATAAAATCATGCTTTCTATATGACTTCTTGGTAATTGGTAAAGGAATGCAACACAATAGAACAAAGTTCTTAACATCTTAATTGTTTTATGAGCTTTGATTTTCTCATGTGTTGCATAAGAATTATTTTATCATATTATGACTCAATTATTGATGGGCTCCATATTTATCAAAAAAAAACTTTGCATGCAATGTGGGAAGTGTTTTTCTCTTAATTTATACTACTAAATCATTATTATCCATATAAAACACAAACAATACACTTTTAGGTTACGTAGATCTTCAATAAGGCTAAGGCCATGGGATGTGTAGATCTTTTGCGAGAGGAGGGGTGGGATGATGCTGCCATATAACAACACATAATATATATAAATATATATGGGAAAAGATTCG